TTGCTCATAAAAAGAATTACATTTGAAAATACGGCGTTTCATTCCTTCTTCACATCATCCTGGTGATTGTGATGCAAGCGGGTCTGCCGTCACGAGGTATATGATGTCGGCATTCCAATTATCTGGGCCTACCAATAACTTAAACTGGAACAAAAGCTGAAACCAGAATTATCTCAACTATAATTGTTATAAAATCCGATACACGTCATGTGAAACAATATGTACATGTAATGTGTTTAACAGACGTTTGCGTGCGCTGACTGGGGGTAAAACGCTACATGTATAATGCTAGCAGACTGATGATGTTCTATTAAAAAACATCATAAATAAACACCAACACTTACTCCTCACTAGTGTATTTGAGGAACTAGGAGACATGAGGTGAAATGGAATTTAACGTCGCGTGCAAGAATATTGCACTTATATAGCAACGTGCATGCACGTGCATATGTGTGTGTGTGTGTTTGTTTGTGTGTATGTGGCTGCTTGAACTAGTCTTGACTAATGCAGGTTGTATAGTGATAGCCAACTGAGATACCATTAGGAAGTTTATCACGGTTAAGGCCAAGCTCTAGCCAGGGTAACTATTAAAATCTGATTATCGTATTGGGATTGTCAGTCCATCCAAATGGTAAACGTAAAAGACTTAAATCAGAGGACGGTTTCTGGTAAAGGTATTCTATCACGTATCAACATTCGTAAAAATTATATGTTTAATTTTCTATTTTATAAAGGCATTTGTCCAAATTGGTTTTAGATATTGAGGTGAGACGAGGTGAAATGGGGTTTATCGTCGCGTTCAAGATTTTTGTACTTATATATCGACGTGCATGCAAGTGTGTATATAGTGTGTATGTGTGGCGGCTTTTACTAGTACATGCTCAAGTCTGTTAGAATGTGCTAGAAAACTGAGATACCATGCCGCAGATCAGATACATTATACAGACTCCGAGCCGCCCTGTGCTTGTTTTATACACTAGCGTAGGGCCAGCGTTCACCAACTAACCTGTTTTAACGTATGATGGTATGGGGTTCGAACCACTGACCTCCTATTATCCGGGCAGATAATCTGTCCACTAAACCATGGAGGTGGTCCTTGGAGCAATTGAACGGCGGTGTTCTATGTTAAAACATCACATAAGGGGTCCAATATTGGAACATACACTTTACTATTGCAGTTGAGGGGAAATGCGAAATGAGGTGTTGAACGTTGAAGTACAAGTACCATCTTTGAACATCTTTTGGGGGGATCGAACCTGCGGCCAGACGCTCTAACTACTAGATCATGGAGGCGATCTTCATAGATAATGAAACATTCTGTAAATATGCATATGATAATCGCTGAAAGCGCATGACATATTACCCTTATCAACGGATCAGTATCTATACATGTTACTCCACCGGGAGTACACAACCCAAGCTTACCGTCAGGGGCTAGAATGTTTACGCTCGATATCATCTCATATAGGGGGCACGTGTGCAGAGTTGCGTCCCTTGGGCACGCCAGAAACCTATGATTGTGGGTTCGAATTAGGAGATAAACCTACTGTGTTTCCAAATTTGATGTAGTCCCACTGTAGAATAGATGCCTCTTTATTTTCCAAATTATAATAAAGAGGTATCTATTCTACAGTGGGACTACATCAAATTTCAAAACGCAGTAGGTTTATCTCCATTCTACCATGACGCAACAACGCTTTGAAAACGGCGCTCTCTTGCAACGCGTTACAACACAGGCACACAGGTCCGCAATCTTAGAACATTTCGAAAAGTGTTCACAGGTAGTTATATACTAGTATGTAACAATTATTACTAAAGTTCAAGATTAAAAACACCATAGTCGTGAGTAGTTCAAAATAAGCGTTCAAAACACATAGTTTTTCAAAAGAAGTTGACAAATAAGACTCCAAACTTAGTCCAAAGACAGATGTTTAATTTCTACCAACTTGTTGTACACTGTGGACTGACTCATTCTTGGAAGTTGCGAGAGGTCATTTCTTGGAAATCGAACATGCCATCATTTCTATTGTAGGGGTGACAGGTTGTAGAAAAAGGTTCTAAAATGCTTAACGAATATATTTCTACAACAAACTTTTTGAATTAACATTTTATTGTACATTTAAATTGTGTAACTGTTATTAGTTAGTTAGCAATTACCCCCAGTAAACAATAATAACATCAAAATAAATGCCTCCACCCCGAACTTGGATGTGGCAGAACTTGACCTACATCATGGTTACTCACACCTCGCAGCTGTCAATGGCTGACAATCTTGTGTTTACATTCTCCGTTGCTCCGTAAGCAAGATGACAACCCCGATCTATGATGTGGTTCAACATTAGCCTGCGGGTACAATATGATTACCAATGGAACTGAGTATGACTATACAGACGCTTTTTAGGCTGCAGACCTTTTTTACAGGAGGTAGGGCCTATCTCAGAATCTGATGGTGCGACCGTCAATTTCAAGATTTCACGGATTCCAAAGCCAGAGTGTGAATGGAATGAGACATTCGTGGCCCAGACGTAGTGGGTCGTGTATGATTTTCTTAATTGTACCTGTTCTGAAACGAATTTCATCAAGTTTGACTTCAATGATGTAGGGACATTGTTTTCGTGGCTTTTCGAACGGACGAGTGTTTTCTGAGTGATGGAATTTCAAATCCTCTTCTGCCAAATCCTTACGATGGTGGTTGACGGAGATAGCGACGAATATCGATCACAAAAAGGTTTGTAAACAACAGGTTGTGATGAAAAAAGTTTTTTCAAACAATTTTTATAATTTTATATTTTACTTTCATTGTCGGTTGTTTCAATGTGGAAATAGCTTAAATTGTTCCGAGTCTGTGACGCTATGCCTGTCTGTTAATTTCACGAGAGCCCTTGACTCGGTGTGTATTAGAGACCTGGCTTGTATTAGAGACCCAGCGTTTATTACAGGAAATATAGATACGTTTTACAGTTCATATGGGGTGATCGATCGGCAGCCGTTTTCTATGATTCGATATGTAGGCTATCTTTGTATTCATACGCGCGTTTTTTGTGTGTAAAGGCTTAAAACATTTGAAAGCGGTTTCTGTAGCAAAAAGGAACCCTTTTTTTAACCAATCAGAATCAAGCATTCATCAATGTCATGGTAGAATCCCGGTTCTCACCGACTATGATTCTAAGTTTGTCAGCACCATACCGTGCTCGTTGGTTTCACCGAAGTGGTAAACGTCTGAGACCTGCATCACTTCGGGCTTTCCTCCCACATTAAGCTGACACGCCGCCATATAACTGGAATAGCGTCGTTAAACCCAACTCACTCACTCACTCATCTCATTCATGTTCTGTCGTAAGCCCATCACTGTTGGGTGGACCGAAACAAATCAACAATGTCATTTGCCCACAGAGACACCATATGTTTTATGCACATGAATTTGAATTTCTGCTCGGATGACACAATCAAAACAAGGGACTTTTGCCAAGATGTTTAACTTAAGCTAAAGGTTATCGGTAATCTGATATCGTTTACTAATGGTCCTATAGGCAATTCTTTTCCACTGAACTAGAAATAGGTCAGACCGGTGAAACCACCTCATCTTATTCATGTTATTATCTATGCATAAAGATTCAGAGTTACAAACAACTGTCAAGTAGAATGTAGGCTAAGAAGTATGAATTATTCTTTAAGCGAACACTTGGTGTCATCAATGATTTTTATTGATCCATTCATATAATTTTCACCAGTATCTTGCCTTTTACGCCCAATGTTTCGTTGGATAATCGAAACCGTCTCTTTTGGCGTCCATACTTTCTACATTTCGCAACTTTTGAGGAACAATCAAGAATACTATTTCTCCAAAGATTTCAAAAGAGCGTCAAGGCTCTTGTTCAAAAGTTCCCCGTCCAGGCCTCAGTTAAGCTTTCAAAAGTGTTATATGGTAGACGTGCGGAGGACATTTCTAAATTCTATGAATCAGTGACACAAAGGTTGTGAGTACAACTCCTTAATGAACGATATGTTCCCGTATTTCTTTCAGGTGACCCTTTGTTTGACTTGCTTTTGTATGTTTGTGCTGGGGGGCCACTGGTGGGGTAGAAGACACTCACCTTTCCGTGACTGTTTGATGGTGATTCATAAACACATCTTTGAAAGGTATGTTCAGAATCGTAAGCGAAATATTCATATTGATCTATATGAACTCCTTCCATTCCCCTCTTTGTTTAGTAACAGAGTAAATACGTTTTACGGTAACTCATTGATTTACGCAAATGCATTAAGTGCAATATTCTAATTACACTGAAACCTTACTGACATGCACTTAAGCCATTTTGAAGTTTGCTATTTGAGATAGGCTCTGCTCTCTCCATAGGAACATACACACTGATGCTATGGTTTAAAAACTGGAAAACCCAACAACGCGTCAATCATTATCAACGTCCGGACTTATACATATGCCTGAGAAGATGTTGAACGTCAGAAAGGTTATTTCTTTGACAGTCATACTGCAAGTTATACCTTGGAGCATATGTTGTAAATCTGACGGAGATGTCATTGACACAATCTTAGAAAGGCTACAATGTCCATCACAAGCCAAGCAATGAAGTTCACATTACTATTGAAGCAGGATTGTTATCTGTACAAGAACTGGACAACGAAAAGCAGTTTCTAAGCAGCACCATGTGGATGACCTTCTCATGGTATGATCATCGAGTTATTTGAAATGCTTCGTTGAGCTCACAAAAAAAAGTATTCTTGCTGACTCAGCCAAGTTCTGGAAACCTGAATTGATTATAGGAAATAGCATCAAGGGACACGAGTTTCTACGTAATGAAGAGTCTCTGTTGGTTACCAGTCATGGAAATGTTACATGGCTTATGACAGGAACAAGATAAACCAGGTGTCAAATGAACATTTACAAGTTTCCCTTTGATACCCAGATTTGTGCAGTTGTGGTTGGTGGACGTTTCGGTGTCTACAATAGAATACATATCTCTAGTCAAAGAGATGTTGACATGAAACAATTTGAAGAGAATAGCGAGTTTGAAATTTCCACTGAAGACATCACTGAGAAAATCGATGTTTATAAGGAACAGACATTGTGTATAACCAATCATTTGAAAAGACGCCCTCTCTTCTACATCTTCGCCGTCCTGCTCCCCGTGGTCCTCCTCTACTTCCTCAACACCTTCGTGTTCCTGCAGCCCTCACAGGGCGGAGAAAAGACCAGCATGGCCGTGTCTGTCCTCCTCAGCTTCCAGCTCTTTCTGTCCATCATCAGAGACACCCTGCCCGAAAACTCTCTGACAGTCAGCCTATTCAGCATCTACGTGTCTCTGGCCAACTTCACCAGTGTCATCATCGTCGTTGTGAACATTCTCCTCCTCAAACTGAAAGATAAATGGATCTTAAGAATGTGTAGGAAGAACTCTGCCTCAAATCAAGTCGATGTTGGAAGTGGCAATGTGGAGGAGGATGAGCATACAAGGCCAACGTGGGCAAATATTGAAACTCAACTAAACAAGACCTGTTTTCTGTGCTTCTTTGTGTTTAGTATTAGTATAACAGCCGTGATTCTTGGGATGCTGACAAGATAAAGAGGACGCGCGTGTCAGCTTGGCTTGCCATATCTGCTCCCTACGACTGAAACTTTGAAAAGTCCTGGTTTTACATTTGCTTGTGTTGCCTTGTCGTGTTTAGGGGAATTTAACCTTGAAGTGATTTCTCGAAATATTGTTCAGGCTAGTAAAATTAAATGTGTTAAATCCCGTTCTCACCCGTGAAGATCCGGGAGTCACATCATGTCCTCTTTTAACTTAACTTGTGGGATGTATTTTGGTAGGGGTAGATGTCATCCTTAATACTGGAACGGGTCGCCCAAACACACCATTTTGATATGTGAAAAGCATGCGTTTTGTCTCTGACTTTATTATATAAAGCCATGTCATAGCAGTTTTAAGACTCAGTTGATCTTTCGCTGTCGTGAGACCTGGCCAGGAGAAAGGCATTTGTGAGTAGAACATTGTGTTATTTCGAGGATAAATATGTGGATTGGTTACTTCGTGTTTAATTGTAAAAAGGGTTTGCTTTGCCAAAAGAGTTGTCCATCATGGAAATTTAGCCTGTCATATATATTATTTTCAATGTTCTTGACTTCTTGTATTGTAATACATGATAGTTGTCACCTAGTAGTTAGTCATGTTGATGATTTCAGCCTTAGTGTGATTGCTCCTACTTGCGGTCCCTTACTCGGACATTCATCACGGACTTTTAAATGGGACACCTGAACATGTGAAAAAAAGGACATTTGAATGCTACGACAGAATTCTATTTTAGTGTGGAATGTTATATTCATATTTAGACACTGTATGAACAGTGTTTGTATTGACAATACTGCTTTTCTATGTAAAACAAAGAACACTATTATCTTTTGTAATATAATGCCATTTAACCTGGTGTGAAATATTGCTGACTGTAATAAATGTAATCAACCTAAAGTATTTTTCTTTTTCGTTTGTAATAATGTGTGCTGTATATCCTTAGTTCTGCTTTTGATTTGTGACACGGGTGTAGAAAAGGTCTTCAGCAACCCATGCTTGCCGTAAATGTTGGTCGTAAGAGGCGACTAACGGGATCGGGTGGTCAGGCTCGCTGACTTGGTTGATGCATATCATCGTATCCAAATTGCGTGGAGTGATACTTATGATGTCAATCTCTGGATTATCTGGTCCCGACTCGATTATTTACAGACCGCCGCCATATAGCTGGAATATTGCTGAGTGCGGCGTTTAACAACAAACAAACAAATTTATTAAGAAACAAAATATCGCAGTGCAGAGTTTTCAGAACTCCCAGACCCGTGAAGATTCCGGGGTAGAATAGGTCTTCAGCAACCCATGCTTGCCGTAAAAGGTGACCATGCTTATCGTAAAAGGCGACTAACGGGATCGGTAGGTCAGGCTCGCTGACTTGGTTGATGCATATCATCGATCCAAATTGCGTGGATCGATGCTCATGATATCAATCACTGGGTTTTCTGGTCCAGATTCGATTATTTACAGATCGCCGTCATATAGCTCGAATATTGCTGAGTGCGGCGTTAAACAACAAACCAACCAACCATCAGAACTCCCAACAGCCATGAAGTGATGATTGCGCTTACTAGTTAATTATAAGTACTGAACTACTATACACCCATGGACTTATCATTCAGTACACCCCTGGGGCAAGGCTAACTACAGATAGTTGGGAGAGAATTGCAATTATCAGAAGCGCAGCAGGAGCAAGCTCCCACTTGACGGGTTTAAAACTAGGCCAAATCTCTCTACTGTGGACAGTGAAACCACACACAGAAATATCAACATGCCAGAATAAATCAGACCATTTTCTTATAAATAAATTGCAAATATGATTGAAAGTAGACGCCAAATTAAAGCTCGAACAAAGACGGATAAATGTTTAAATACCAAAAAAGTTCAAAACTTAATAAGCTTTGATATATGCAATTTGAAATCTTGATGTTAGGTATTAAACATTACTATTACAGATATATATAACATGAGTAGATCTGCTTGTTTGAGTCTTTTGTTTCTCTTTACAAAAACTAAAATGCGTTATCTGCTGGATATATACCGTACCTGTTGGTCATTAATCATCAGCTATGACCACATGGCATGGTCCAGCGTAATGGCCAGCACAGAGCCTGTAAATGGAATGTAACTTCAAACATCACAATCTCTCCACAGGGCCGAGCAAATTCCGACTTGCAAAATTGTTAGTTTAAATCATAGTTTCTAGATTATATAAACTCTTCCAAAAAAGAAACGCATAGTTAAAAAATATGGATATTTATTAAGCGGATGTAAAAGTATCTACACAGAATATGCGTGAACTCAATCAAATGAAATTAGACACAGGGATCGACAAAAGCATTGTCGTCATTGTCAGCATTAATGCAGTTCAGTCATTGCACATGTACATGCACATGCACAGTACCTGGTCACCCCACCTCTTGCAGCCGTCATTGCTCGACACCTCCTTGGAACAGATTGCACAAGTCGTCGGATTTTATCGTGGGGAATTCTTCGCCATTCCTCCTGTAAGGCGTTGGCGAGTTGTGTCAGTGTGTGGGGACGCTGGTGACGTTGAAGGCCGCGTCGATCAAGTTCGTCCCACAAATGTTCAATCGGGTTGAGATCAGGCGATTTGGACGGCCGTGGAAGGACATTGATGTTCTCATTAACAAGGAAATTAACTGTTGCACGTGCTGTGTGGGACCGAGCGTTGTCATGTTGGAACAGCTCCCTCTTGCGGTCCAAAGTTGGGAGGAGGTGAGGACGCAGAATTTGGTCTATGTATCGGTTTGCTGTAAGATTGCCCTGGAAAACAACTAACTGTGATCTACCCGTGTAGGATATGGCTCCCCACACCATGACACTCCCTCCACCAAAATGTCGACGTCGGTATACATGTTGTCTTCCATCCCGTCGTTGAAGAAGAAAACGTGACTCATCGCTGAACCAAACGCGTCGCCAGTTCCTGAGATCCAATGCCTGTGTTCTGTTGCACCACCGGACACGTCGTTGACAGTGTAGACGTCGCAAGACAGGTCCAACTGTTGGTCGTCTCGCTCGAATTCCCCTTCCCTCAGACGATTTCTGATGGTTTGGTCGGAAGTTCTTCGCATACTAGGCACTTGTCCTGCAGTGTCCGTTGCTGTAGCAAATCGATTCCGAAGGTGATGCAACCGGATGTACCGATCCTGAGCAGGGGTGGTCACTCATGGTCTTCCACTTCTGGGATGATCTTGAGTCGAATTAGTGCGGGTATATCGATCCCATAGTCGAGATATGGTACTTTGGTGAACGTTGAAGTGTCTTGCAACGGCAGACTGGGACTCCCCTGCTTCCAAACGTCTAGCGTCGATATTTCGGTCAGCTGCAGTTAATCTTGGCATTTTTCGATCTCCGTTCACGTCAGAAAATTCGCAATGAACTGATGAATTTTGTACGGTCTTTTAAAGTCAGTGTCTCTACTCTTGTTTCCAATATTTTGCACGTGCATTGTGCTGAAAACTTTTTCTGATAGCAATTTCCGTGCATCCTTTGCAATTTTGCTGATAAACGTTTACAAAAAAACATTTTGAGATGTGTTTGCGCGCAATGCACAGCAAACATGACATGATTAACGGGAATCAAACATAAGAATTGTCTTTATGACGATTGCTGGGGAGAAATATCTAATTAGAATTCTCAAAACACCTGTGCGTTTCTTTTATTTTTGAAGAGTGTAGATAATAAGAACAAGTGTCCTTAAAAAAGACTGGCGTCCCTAGACTGTCGCTTATCTAGACTTGCCTATTATGAGGATAGAATGGACATATCATTCAGTACAGCCTTGGTGCAAGACTAGAAGATATAGGATAATTGGAATTTGTACTATCTAACACAGAAGTCCACGTACAAAACAAATCGCCCAAAGCTATGATATTTCGAATGACACAAACTACTGACTCCGAGCCAAACAGTCCTTGTTTTATCTTCTTAAATACCGAGGGACATGAAAATATGGAAAGACAGCAAAGCCTGGACGTTAGTTTTCCATATGGTAAAATACTTATTGAAAGCAACGTTTTGTACAGTCTTTTCAACTGGAATAGTTGAACTTATGATATCCGATATAATACTCTATAGATAAGCTCTGATTCTAAAGTTCCAGTTCTTTATTGTTGATTTATCCTCGCACAAACATATTCGTTGTTAATTCCCCTCTCAGTGTCCTGAGCCCATACACTGCTTAGTGGACAGAGACCAATGAACTACGTCATTTGCCCAAAGAGACAAAACAGGATTTACAGCGGAAACATTTCATAGACAATAAATAGAAAATACAACTGAGAGCACAATATTCACATTAATCTGTGTTTACTTGTTCCATACCTCCCTTGGTTGAATACATATGCCCAACGGTATTCAATTGAACCGTTATAGATTCAAAGTTTTCCGTCAGGTGCAATAGCGTAATTACAGTGAAAGGATAATAATGACGCATTAAAGCTACTTTGACGTCTGCTAAATTTTGAAGATTAGGCTATCAAACTCCTTCCATTCCTCTCTTGGGTGAATAATACTGAGTACATATTTCCAACAGTACGTAATTAAAACCATGTTTTAGATTCTCAGTTGTGCATCAAAGGCAATTACACAATTATCTTAAAACGTTCATATTGACATGCACAAAATCCATTTCGAAGTTTGCTTATTCAAAGGATTAGGTTCTGTTTAATGTCATCTCCATAGAAACACGCACTGATGATATAACATCACTACAGAAGACCCTAAGAACGCATCATTCATTAGAAACGCCTGGACTGATACATACGCCTGAGAAGATGTTAATTGTCAGGAATGTTATTTTCTTGACATGCATACTGCAAGTTATACCATGGATCATATGTTTTACGTCTGACGGAGAAGTTATTGACACAATCTTAAAAGGTTACAAAGCCCATCACAAACCAAGCAATGTAGTTAACATAACTACTGAAGCAGGATTATTATCTGTACAAGAACTGGATAACAAAAAGCAGTTTCTGAGCAGCACGATGTGGATGGTTTTCATTTGGTACGACCATCGTGTTGTTTGGAATACTTCGTTGAGCTCACAGAAAAGTATTCTTGCTGACTCAGACAAATTTTGGAAACCTGAATTGGTTATAAAAAACAGTATTAAGGGAGAAGAGCTACTGCATAATGGAGGGTCTCTGCTGGTTACCAGTCATGGTGAAATTACATGGCTCCACACAGGGAGAATAGAAACCAAGTGTCCTATCAACATTTACAAGTTTCCCTTTGATACCCAGACTTGTTCAGTTGTAATAGGTGGATGGTTCGGTTTCGATAATAAAATCCATCTCCATCCAAAAACAGATGTTGACATGAGAGACTTTGAAGAGAATAGCGAGTTTGACATCTACTTTGAAGACATCACGAACATCAGCGATAATGTTGGACAGAATATACGTATAACCATGCATTTAAAAAGACGTCCTCTGTTCTACATCTTCAACATCCTGCTTCCCGTGGTCCTCCTCTTCTTCCTCAACACCTTCGTGTTCCTGCTGCCCTCACAGAGTGGAGAGAAGACCAGCATGGCCGTGTCTGTCCTCCTCAGCTTCCAGCTGTTTCTGTCCATCATCAGGGACTCCCTGCCTGAGAACTCTCTCACCGTCAGCCTCTTCAGCATCTACGTGTCTCTGGCCAACTCCACCAGTGTCATCATCGTCGTTGTCAACATCCTCCTCCTCAAAATGAAAGATATGCCACCGCCGAAATGGATCTTAAGAAGGTGCCAGAAAGACTCTGCTTCAAACAAAGTTGATGTTGTAAGTGGCAATGTTGAGGATGACGAAAGTGGCAATGTTGAGGATCAAAAGCAGGTAAGGCCAGAGTGGGCAGAAATTGAAACTAAACTAAACAAGACCTGTTTTGCATGCTTCTTTGTGTTTAGTAGTAGTGTAACAGCCGTGATTCTTGGGATGCTGACTAGATAAAGAGGATGCACGTGTATCATCCTGGCCTACCATATCTATTTCCTGTGACTGAATAATTCTCTGTCTATACAAGATCTGTTTTCTGTGCTTCTTTGTGTTTAGTCGCAGTGTTACGACCGTGATTCTTGGAACGCTGGCGTGATGAAAGGACGTGCGTGTATCACCTTATTTCCCACGACTGAAACAATGAAAAATTCTGTTCGTTTTAATTGTATACACATGAAATAGTAATTATAGCTATGGACGTTTAATATTATGAATGTATATTTTCGGCTGAAAGACAACTTCCTTCTCTGAATGAAGCCAACTAATGGTCCAACAAAACATCAAGTATATATTTTTTGTGGTTTAAAATTGAAAATTTAAAACGTCAACGTCTGAGAATAATCAGTGTCGAGTGTCGAGGGAACAAAATTCCATTGGGCGTACAAAGCACAAACGGTGATTGATATCTGAATTGATCAATGAAAATCAATGACACCAGGTGTTCGCGAAAAGGGTAAGCATTGCCTTGCTTTACCGGAAGCACCCGCCACACACACAATTTGCATTGTACTACCTACCTTTCATTGTAATATTATAACTCTTATTAATGTTGTTTAACGCCCCCTCGGCGTTGTTGCAGCTACATGTATATGACGGCTGTTTGTACATAATCGGGTTTGGACCAGACAATTTAGAGAATGACATCGTGAGCATCGATCTACATAATAGACATACATCTTTTTACTGTGGAAACATGGTTGCATGATTGTGCTGTAAGCAGGTACCCCAAAGAAAACCAACAACAGAAACAAGACTATACACACACAGAGAAAATGCCTCACCAATAATGGTGTGTTAATGCAGTGTGTAACCATTGGTTGCGGCCTCCGTGATTTACTCTGATTGGTTAAATTGAAAATATTCTGGTTCGTAACGATGCAAACTTTATAAAGATGTGTCCTTGTAATTTGTGTTGTTATTTCTATTTAAAGTGTACATATTTCATAGTCTGGGAGCTGTGGATTTTCTTTGGTAGGCCTGATAACTGAAATGTTTCTTTTTCATTTTGTTGTGCCGCCTTAACGTTTTTAGCACAATCTGACTTTGAAGCTTCTCCTTATAACATTGTTCAGGCAAGTAAAGAAAATGGATTAAGCTCAGTTCTATCAATTATAATGACCCACGTCTCAAATTCTGAATAGTGCCATAACGATGAAAATGCCTTCTACTTGAAATCCCATACAGAAAGCTGTTGAAATCCAACAATTCGTTCTCTGTGCTTTAATACACAGTATGGCACTTTTAGTAAACTGATTGACAGCAGTCCAGAAGGTTGTGAGTGAGCGAGTGAGTAGGGTTTAACGACGCTTTTAACAGCATTCCAGTTAAACCACGGCGTGTCAGCTTAATGTGAGAGGAAAGCCCGAAGTGATGCAGGTGTCAGATGTTTACTACTTCGATGAAACCCACGAGCACAATCATAATCGGGGCGAACCGGTTTTCGAACCTACAATCATAGGTTTCTGCCGTGTCCAAGGAACGCATCTCTGCACAGCGAATTGCAGCGCCTTAGACGACTTGGCCCCCCGTGCCCCCTTGTGGGGCTTGTCAAATGTCGGATATGGCATGGAAAGTATCATAATTTCAATATATACTGAACAACAAAAGTTCCTGTGACATTGAATAAGATTTAATGCAAAGTTATGTTTTTTTACTAAATCTGAAACAATTTCGGTTTGCAACAGATTCCTGTAAGTGTTCAAATGGTTTAATTTGCCATACTGACTTCAGAAAATGCGTGATTTCATAAAACAAAAACCATGAACATGTCAAAATGTCAATTTACAAATCAATAGCGTGTGTCCACCTCTGGCTCCGATGCAAGCAACACATCTTCGTCTCATGGAATGGACCAGGCGTCGCACAAAGTCCTGTGGGATATCTGTCCATATCTGCTGGAACATGTTTCGAAGTTCCTGGAGTGTCTATGGAACACGTGGTTGACGTCGAAGGCACCGATCCATCTCATCCCACATGTGCTCGATTGGTGAGAGTTCAGGGGAGCGAGGCGGCCAGGGAATGACATTCACGTTGTTTTGTTGAAGAGAATCCTGAACAAGTCCAGCAATATGCGGCCTGGCGTTGTCATGTTGAAAGGTAATGCCTGGGCCATGACGACGCAAAAACGGTAGAACAACTGGGTCGATGATCTCGTCGCGGTAGCGCTGTCCGTTGAGATTACCCACTACCAGTATCAAACGGGTCCTCTGTCTTGCTGTAATCCGGCCCCATACCCATGGGAGGATACAGAGGAGAGAGAGGGGGGGGGGGGGGGGGGGATGCGGACACACACACACCCCTTTTTTATTTCGAAAAAAATCTTTATTTCTGTATAAATTACCACCATAGATAATTGTGCACCTTTCCTTTTCAAAAAAGCTGTATCCGCCCATGCATACCATAACGCTGCCGCCCCCGAACCGATCTTCCATGCCACAATGATTGACGTAACGGTCACTTCGATGTCGGTACACTCGAATCCGTCCATCGCTGTTACTGATGTGAAAATGAGACTCGTCAATGAATAGAACTTGTCCCCACTGCTTGGCCGTCCAGTGCAGACGCTGTCTGCACCACTGTAGACATGCTTGACGGTGGTTTCCTGTCAAAATGGGACGTCTTGCGGGTCTTCTGGCGACAATCCTTGCACATCTGAGGCGACGACGTACGGTTTGTGAAGATATTCGTCGAATGCCAGGGATGCTTCTTGCAGTCACTGTTGCTGGCTGGAATCGATTTCGTAGGTGTGTTGTTCGAATCCAGTTGTCTTGTCGATTATTGGTTACGCGTGGCCTGCCACTCCGAGGATGGTCTCTGACTGCATTCGTCTGTTGCCAACGTTGCCATAAACACCAAATGGTGTTTCTGTGGACGTTAAATAGTCTTGCAACATCACGTTGACTCGATCCCCGCTTCAAGCATACTAATGGCTCACAGACGCTCATTTTCGGACAGGCGTGGCATTTCGTAATGTTGAATAATTGCGTAATTTGTTGTTTTTCTGAGTGGTTGTCAGCACGATGCTAAACAATGTATATGGAATCCCATTAACGCACGTATTTATACCCATTATTGGGTAGTGATCATGAAATGCATGGGGCATGCATAAAAGTCAACTTTAGCATGGAATGCATGCCTTTCTGTAGCAGTTGCGTTTTTGTGACTTGATTCCATACATGTACTACAATATTGGAAACCAAACTTTGTTTGAAAAATACACGAAAATATTGGTGTCAAAGGAACTTTTGTCGAGTATATTTTACGGTTCTAGTACCAGAGATTTATGTTCTGTGATACGATTTGACAGCTGATTTGTGATGGTGAGTGAAATTGGGTTAAACGTCGCGCCCAAGATGATTGCACTGATATAGAGGCGTGCAAGCGCTCGTACTAGTCCGGACTGATGCCGTTTTATAGTGCTAGCTCCCTGATATTATGCCGCAGTTTAACATGAATACTCCACTCACAGTATACTGACTTCGAGCAGACGAGTCCTTGTTTTAGTCCCCCTATGTTGAGCGCTAGACAGGGTAACAAGTACTTAACGCCTTTTGGAATTGAACCCCGGACCTTCCGTTCCCTCACTTAACACGGAGGCGATCAGCTGATTTGTGTTTTTGTTTAGATTTCTATGTATGTACCCATTAATGAAGACACTAATTGGCTGAAGCTGTTCTTATGCATTTGGGCAAGACATTACATTGATGCCAGCACATAATAGGATTGTAGATATCGGTGGGTCGTACTTAATATAACCTGGAATCCCCACGTTCGTGGCAATTCTTTTTACTACAACTACGACCTGTCAATATCAAAATAAATAATTGTCATCACTTTAAAATAAAAAAGATATACTGCTGAGTGAAAATTACTGAAAATGTGTTCATTGTCCTTTGGGTAACACTTTAACTAAACGGCTGTTCTCAAACATGGGGCCCCGAGACAAATTTGATTAACAACGATTCAACCCGCTGAGGTGCGATGGGGCCAAATCAGCCATGTTTGCCATTTTGGTTAAAATATACTAATTTTCGGTCATGGAATCCGTAACAGGGGTGTTAAAGTGCCACATGTTTTTTCGTTTGGTTTTACACTAAATGAAGCACTATCCCAATGCTACCTCTAGGCTACCATAGCGGCCGTGTCTGATGAGGTCTATTGGAAAATGACCGACATGAACATCGATCTAGGCACCTGGGATACGATGATATGCATCAGCCAAATCAGAACCACCACCCGATCCAGTTAGTCGCCTCTTACAAGCGTGGGTTGCTGGAGACTATTTCTGACCTGGATCTTCAGTCGGCAATATTTCAGTCGGCAATATTGCAGTCGGTTCATAGCAGCCTGCCCTATTCGAGTCTGTTGAAAGCATGTGTGACAACTGGCACACAATCTACCAGGTCACAGCCTGTAAACAAGTAAATATGTAAACATGGGAAGATGCCTGACAATGGCTCCTACCATGGTTCTCAATCCAAACAACATACACAAACACATTACACGTTTACTTCTGTCAACAACACCACAGTGTAAAATTCTTTTTGTATTTGGCTTGAATTTGACTTCTTCTCTGGAGGATCTTGTCTAGCTTGTGCTGAGTAGCAGACCTCCGCGTTCTCGGGACTGGGAGCATGAAGTCACTGGTATGCGTTGTGAGCATGAGTGGTGGGTCTCCTGCGAAAGAACACTCAGGTCAATTATGTTTTGGTAGTTCAACGCCGCCACGCCAGCTATTTGACGTCGGTCCTTAAATAGTCGAGCCTGGGCCTAACAATCCAGTGACTGACATGAACATGGATCTACGCAATTGGGATGCGATTAGAAACAAGTCCGCGAGCCTGACCACTCGATCTTGTTAGTCGCCCCTTACAAAAATAGTCGCCTCTTACAGCCATAGCCATGGCCATGGGATGCTGAAGAATACTAACACGGACCCTTACGGGCCCCTTAAGATTAAAGTTTTGTTGTTTGTTGTTTAACACCGCACTCGGCAATATTCCCGCTATATGACGGCGATCTGTAAATAATCGCCTGAGCCAGACAATTCAGTGATTGACATGAGCATCGATTTACGCATCATAAGATAGCATGCATCCACCAAGACAGCGTTAATCGCCTCTCGCGAGAAGCATGGTCGCCTCTTTAGACAAGCATGGGTTGCTGAAGACCAATTCTAACCCGGATCTTCACGGTCATCACATTAGAGTGAGCGAGTATGGCAGGCAAGTCACGGTGGGAGAGGGGTCGGAGGATAACAGCCATGTGGGGAATCGAAGCCTTCGGCGTGACGAGTCAGTGATTTAACCACTTCCCCACCGTCCCCTGTAATAATTAGAAAGTGGTCAATAGGTGTATGGAACATGAGCGTGATACGACTGTCAATATAACATCCTCGATTACCCAGGGTATAATATCCCCATACCTCGTCCTTGACCAGTTCGACACCATTGCTCCGTTTGAGTGAGTGAGTGAGTATGGTTTAACGCAGCTTTTAACAGTATTCCAGTTATATCACGGCGTGTCAGCTTAATGTGGGAGGAAAGCCCGAATCCATGCTCTCTCCCTGTTCGCCTGCAGTCACAAGCAACATACATAACTAACCAGGCATGCAGATTAGTCCTTGGCCTAAGAATAGCTGCGAAGTTGCATAAAATCTTACCCAATACAAATACACATGAACAAAATATGAACCCCAATAATTCAACATGACTGCGTTATAATTTTTAACACAGTTCAGTCTTCCTGTACGCCTTGCAGATCTATTGCCCGATCGAATGCAGGCATCACCTATATTTACGCCGTAACAATCCACGCCGTTGGGATACGATGACAAGCAATCCATCAATTGGGATAAGATAATAACACGAGCACGGGTATGGTGCTGACAAACCTAGAAACGTAATCGGGGCGAACCGGGATTCGACCCCATAATCACACAGGTTTCTGGCATGCCCAAGGGACGCAACTCTGCACAGGGAATGGCGGCGCCTCAGACGACTGGGCCACCCGTGCCCCCTTGCTTCGTTTGAAGTCGGGTACGACGTATGTTTTCCGGTGAAGCAACTTTGCAGCTATTTGAGGTGAGGTGAGGTGCATGCACACGCGTTTGTACTAATCCGGTTTGTGTTGGCCAACTGACCTACTACAGTTTAACACTCCTGAGTCCACCAGTTATTCTCGTAATACAGAGCGACAGACAGGGTAACAACAAATACCATCTTTTAACATTATCCACTAGACCACGGAGACGGTCCCGTCTTTTCCGAATCGTCGTTATATTAATATTCTGAAATATTCAGTTCACCGACAATATCGATTTGGATGGAATCACTAAAACATCCCATACATGTTCTTGCTTTCTTATAATCATAAGATTTACCATAAATTCAGTTGATGACGTCAAGCCTAAATGACAATGTTAAAATATAACACTGAGAATAGTGATGTACCTTTTCTCCTAAAATAACAGAAATCGCTTCCATACGACATTATGGAGATAATTTCACGAAGATAAAAGTAAGCTGTTCGTTTAACGCCACTCAGCACTAGTTCAGCTGTAGAACGGCGGCCTGAAGTAATCGAGTCTGGACTAGACAATCCAGTGATCAATATTGTGAGCACACAACCAAGTCATCGGGCCTGAACACAAGTCCATTTGGTCGCCTTTTACGACCAACACTTGTTGCTAGGGAACGCCTGACTCGATAGATCATGTGTTTCGTGCGATACGTTTAATCAAGATGTACTGCCGACACGTGAAAAAAATGACGTGTCGTATTTAGGCACGTGTCACTGAAGGTCTTCTAGCCTTTAACTACGTTTCGATGTCTACCTTTAATGATATAGAAGGATACCCCACGTGGTGCAGGTCAAGAACGTGAATTGCATCAGCCCCGTACTCGACACCTGTTCCTTTTGTCCTATTTTGCGCCGAAATTGTCATTGGTTACGGCGTTACACACAACTTTATACTTACGGCTTTTTTCAGATTCTATGGATCTTCGAATTTTGGCATTTTTACAGCTGCTCTGAAATATAAACAAATTTACGATATAAACTGTACTCCTAAAGGAACTTAATGTACCTTTTGGTTCATAAAAGTTTGTTTTATAAAGCCGCACTCAGCAATATTCCAGCTATATGACGGCGGTCTGTAGATAATCGAGTCTGGACCAGACAATCCAGTGATTGATATCATGAACATCGATCTACGCAATTGGGACAAGATGACATGCATCAACCAGGTTAGCGAGCCTGACCACCCGATCCCGTTAGTCGCTTCATACGGAACGCATGGGTTGCTGAAGAATCTACCCGGACAGCTGAGAGGGACTGTTCATTAACACTGTGGCACGCACCCCATCACAGACCGCGTCACAGAAGGTAAAGTTGCACTCGAATCTGAGGACTGGGTCGGAGGCTACGTTGAAGGCAGGGAAGTAGGGACTGACGGATGTAAGGCCAGTTGTGGTGAACCCTTGGTTCCGATGAAAGATAATTCCGTCACCGCAGCTGTGAACAATACATATAACACATGTGGTTACAAATGCAAACACTCAAAGGCGCATTCCTATCAGTGCATATACCCATAAATGGTTCCGATACCTTGATGACAGTGCCCGCGTTACCTGGCCCTACGTTCGTGTCCAAGTGATTCAATGATATATTTTGGGAGATCCAAATCATTTATGCCAGGGAATATGGTTTTACGCCGCTTTTAGCAATATTCCAGCAATATCACGGCGGGGGACCCCAGAAATGGGCTTCACACATTGTATCCATGAGAGAATCGAAGTCGCGTCTTCGGCGTGACGAGCGAACGCTTTGACCCCCCAAAAATGATTTTCGTTGAGTTCCAGGGTGGCGTTGAGTTCCAGGATGGCGTTGAGTTCCAGGATGGCGTTGAGTTCCAGGGTGGCGTTGAGTTCCAGGGTGGCGTTGAGTTCCAGGGTGGCGTTGAATGACCCGATTCACTTAATTATCAATGTGATTGTGTCATAGTGTTACTAATGTACAGAAGCTTCAAGTCCTACGATGAGAATTTCAATGTTAGATGGAAGAAATTCAACAACTGACAATCAGAACTTTGAATGTGTTCTTGTTTGTTGTTTAATGCGCACTCAGCAATAGTCCAGCTCTATGTCGGGGGTCCAAATAATCGAATCTGGACCAGACAATGCAGTTGGTTTCGACCTACGTATCCCCGATAGGATGACATGCATCAACCGACCTGTGAAGATACGGGGTAGAATAGGTCTTCAGCAACCATTGCTTGCCGTAAAAAGCGATTATGCTTGTTGTAAGGGGCGACTGACGGGATCGGGTGGTCAGACTCGCTGACTTGGTTGATGCATGTCATCCTGTCCCAAATGCGTGGATCGATGCATTTGACATCAATCGCTGGATTGTCTGGTGTGGCGTTAAACAACAAACAAAATAGCATCAACCACGAACCGTCCACCTGATCCCGTTAGTCGCCTCATACCACAAGCATGGGTTGCTGAAAACCATTTCTACCCCGGATCGCCACGGGTCGATTTCATGCTCTTCCTGTTTTCGTTAATGCACAACTTCCACTGACAAGCATTAAACGTGGATGTTAAAATCAGCATGTTTTCTCTAATTGATTATCAAGGTTTAGCTGTCTACCACTTCTTACATACTAACCAAATATGTTTGACTCACAGAAATCGCCTAAACAAATAGTTACGTCGCATGCTTAGTAAGCAAAACGGGCTGAGACATTTCACTGAATCATTGATCTGGCGAAGACCGTGGTTAATGTACAATTAACCACATACCCTTCAGGTACATGAAATTGATTCGCAGTTGAAATTTAGTTGATCCGAGGTTGATAGGTTGAAAAACATTGCCAGAATATTATTTCAACATTTCATGCCTTTCAATATTCGAAATATTGAAATGTGACCTTGCTTTCAACAGATTCAACATAAGTCTTTCAATCTTGAAAAAATATCACATGGGCTATTGTTTTTAAAAATGATTTAACATTGGACTATCGATATTGAGAATTATGTTTAAAACTGACATTGTCTAAAGACTGAAAAGTAATCTGAAAAACAAATTCATAAAAAGCGAATTTTTAATGAGATATATAATTTTATCGTTGGTTGGAACCATAATCTGTCGCGACAGTTGATGCGCCCAGCCTCCCCCCACCAGTTATGAAACGTAACAGTGAGTGAGTGAGTTGGGTGTAACGCCGCTTTTAACAGTATTCCAGTTATATCGCGGCGTGTCAGCTTAATGTGGGAGGAAAGCCCGAAATGATGCATGTCTCAGACGTTTACCACTTCGGTGAAACCCACGAGCACGGGTATGGTGCTGACAAACCTAGAAACTATCGGGGCGAACCGGGATTCGAACCCACAATCACCGGTTTCTAGCGTGCCCAAGGGACGCAACTCTGCACAGTGGAATGCGACGACAGGACAATTTGTGCCCCCTTTTTAACTTCGGAAATTAAAGAATAATACGCGTATTAATAAACTTTGAACACGTACCCAGCCCTTAGAACAGGGTATCGTTTCTTTGTCTTCACACCAACAGCATCACATGACACGGGCTTGAAGCCTTTCTCTCCCTGTTCGCCTGCAGTCACAAGCAACATACATAACTAACCAGGCATGCAGATTAGTCCTTGGCCTAAGAATAGCTGCGAAGTTGCATAAAATCTTACCCAATACAAATACACATGAACAAAATATGAACCCCAATAATTCAACATGACTGCGTTATAATTTTTAACACAGTTCAGTCTTCCTGTACGCCTTGCAGATCTATTGCCCGATCGAATGCAGGCATCACCTATATTTACGCCGTAACAATCCACGCCGTTGGGATACGATGACAAGCAATCCATCAAGGCCGAACCTGACCATCCGATCCATTTGGTCGCCTATGTCGTCCAGCATTGGTTGCTGGGAACCAATTCCAACCTGGGATCCCAATGGGGTTAAGCACGATTTGGTTGGTTTGTTGTTTAACGCCGCACTCAGCAATATTCCAGCTACATAACGGCGCTCTGTAAATAATCGAGTCTGGACCAGACAATCCAGTGATTGATATCATGAGCATTAATCAACGCAATTGGGATCGATGACATGCATCAACCAAGACAGCGAGCCAGACCACCCGATCCCGTTAGTCGCCTTTTACGACAAACAAGGGTTGCTGAAGACCTATTCTACCCCGGATCTTCACGGATCGGTTAAGCATGAGGCACTGCCGTACTGAGGACTATTCGAACCTGGGCCGCGTTCCAGAAAGCGACCTTTAGCGCTACGATTGTCGTAAGTCCATGTAAAAGTATGGGAGTTGAGATCGTCTTAGCGTTAGGATTGTTTTGTGGAACGGGGCCCAACAGAGGAAATCGGTGGTAGGACGAGTCGAGCTGTCATACTTACCTTTACTTCCGGCCTTGAGTTGCACAGTCTTGACCAGGTGAAGGTCAGACCCTGTCAAGTCATTGCCAAGAACATCCATTTCGCGTCCCGTGTTGTGCTGCACCTCCATTGGTGCTATCAGTCTGGAATACGACCACAATTGTCTTTTGTTGGTTGTTCAATGCCGCACTCAGCAATATTTCATCTATATGACGGCGGTCATTAAATAATCGCTCGAGTCTAACAATTCGGTGATTGACATGAGCATCGATCAACGCAATTGGGATAAGATAACATGCTTCAACCAAGTCAGCGTTAATCGCCTCATGAGAAGCATAGTCTCTTCTTTATAGACAGACAATACAGTGATTTATATCAGGAGCATCGATTCACGCAAATGGGATACGATGACATGCATCAACCAAATCAGCTGGCCTGACCACCCGATCTTGACGGGGCGCCTACGTTCCAAGTCTTTCGAGGACAGTAAGAATAGCATGAAATAATAGTGCTAACTTCTTCACCAGAAGCCCATCACCAAACACCCCATGTTCAAAGTTATTGTTGTCAGGGCCAGGCGATATGTTCCTCATCAGTTTCCGTACATGTCTAGTGACTTCGTGAATGGATATTTCTGCATACATGCATTATCAACACAGGAATTAGTTTCACTACTAGATGCTAAGTTCACCATTTCACAGTCCATGCTATGTTTAAAGTCTTGATCGAACTGTTGAGTCATATGGCTTTGTCAGATACGCATAATATCTGGCTGAAAGCTGACAGGTCAGTGGGGGTTTCATTAAAGTCGTCACACACAAGTTTATCAACTTCCATCTTCTGATTACGTAGATTTCTCACATACTTACAAAACGTGTTCACGTCAGCCTCAAGTTTGATTTAAGTCCGAACAAAATTTCTCAGAACAAGACCGCTTTGTCAGACGTTGGAATTCTCGCTTAGCGTGCTTGTATGATTTAAAAGAACGAAATTATCTCCCTTTGGCTTAACCTCGCACAACCATCGCCTTGCAACTTGTATGTTTAACTGGTCATCTTGTGGCCCATCCTGTTTCCAGTACCGCTTCCTATGAGCCTTGAAACTACCTACTGGACTTACAATTGATATCAATCATGCATTCACTGATCGCCGTATTAATGATTCAATAGCATCATGTGTATATGATGAACAAATCACTGCATTGTTAGACCCGTGAAGATCCGGGGTAGAGTAGGTCTTCAGCAACCCATGCTCACCTCACCTCCATATGTTGGGATATCGGTCGCAACATCATTCTCAAGGAAACACACACCCGTCTTGTTACCGTCAGATGAAACAATTCTGCACACCCTCGGTCTCCCACTAACTCCTTCCTTCCTGGTATCAGTACTACTTGAAAGTGAATCATAAACACATGCACATGATACAGTCTGAATCGTAAATTGATTCACCTTTTACAGAGATTTCTATTGGGTATGGAAAGGGTATTATCGCTTTATTTATTATTATTCCCTTCACTATACGTCGGGATACAAACGTCGCACTGCATAAATCAGATTCTTCTAAAGAGAGTGCCCTGTTGACAAGAACTTCGAGTCCTGGGCTTTCCCCATGTAACTTAACTAACTGCTCCTTACCCAGAACTGGTTCCTCAACATCAAAACTGTCAGTATTTTAGTACTCTCCCTAAAAAAATTAGACAGGTCAAGAGAATGATCCATAAAATTGCCAGCCAAATCATTACTGGATCATTGTCAGAGCAACTTTGCATAGCCATATCACGAGTAACAACACACGCAGGACAAATCATACCTGGAATTTCTTATTCAAGATTTTCAGTAATTTCCGAAGTGATAGGCTCAAGAAAAACAACAGGATCGGCCAAACATCTTTCCCCTTCCAAATCATGTCCAATGAGCAAGTCTTTAACGGGTAGAGTTTCTACAACCCAAACCTTGACCAACCCAGACACCAGATCTCTCTTCAAATTCACAAAATGATGAGATGCACTGGTACAACCACATAAACCCTCTAACAAACCTGAGACCCCCCAGAAAGTGGCAAAATATCATCCAAAATCAGAGTTTGAAGAGCACCATTATCCCTCAAAACGGTAATAGGCTTAACATTGGAACTGTCACCTTTTACTGACACAAACCCTTTACTAACAAAAGGTAAGCACTCCTCTCAACAATAACAACAACAACAACTGACTATCATCTCTGGTCTAAAACAACTAACTCTTCATTAGCCGAACCACAAAAAGGGACATTCGGGAAAAAATTACTGCTTTTGAAAGCGAGCTTTCTACACTCAGAAATAATATGCCCTGTCTAGCGGCATTATCTACAAGGATGTTCTGATTAATTTCCAGAAGTAGGTTCAGAACCAACTGTAATAGAACTTGACGTTTTGTCAACAAACTCAGAACCAGACGTGTTGGAACTAGATCCAGGAGGGGATGAATTATCTTTTCCTCATGTGTAACCCTGGGAATTCCTGCCTATAAATCATGATTGCTTAAAACTAACCCTGTGAGTTGGCGAATAATCATCAGCCAAAGTAGCAGCCTTGTGTAATTGATCCACGTTCTGCTCACCAAGATATGTCTGAATGTCCGTTGACACACACTGCTTAACATCAACAAAACCAACTGCCTCAAACAATCCAAATCACCACTGACCTCCTTTGAAGTACACCACCTATCAAGCAGTTTCCTTCCCCTTAGCAAACTCAACAGAAGTAGAATCATCCCTTTTCTTGGCAGACCTAACCATTTGCCTTGAAGCTTCAAGAACCAATGCATTCGGCTTCAAAACGTCAACCTGATAATCAGAACTACTATCGATAGGTAATGCAGAATAAACTTTCTGAGCTTTGCCCCTGAATACACTTTGCAACAACATGATCCAATGATGTTGAGGCATTTCAAACTGTAGGCCACCTTTTCAAAATGTACGACATACTTCTTGATATCACATTCAGAGAAGGGCAGAACAAGTCTAATCTACTCGGAAAGATCAAACAATTCATTACTTGTTAGGTACGATGAGAGAGATCATTTTGTAAATCAATTTGCTTCAGCTTAATTTCTTTTTTAGCTTCATCTTCAAATTGCCTAATCCGAAATTCTCTCTCTTCTTTTACTTTCTCAGCTTTCAATTTTAACTTCTCAGCTTCCAATCTCAATTTGTTATTTTCAGCCTCAATTCTCAACTTGTCTTTCTCTCAGCTTCCAATTCTCTGAGTCAAATTTTTCTTTCAAATTATAATTTCTTTAAAGCGAAAACATCAGTTTTTTCTTTAATCAAAGCCAAAGCATCATCAACCAAAATTTCTTCCACAACCAGGTAATCATAAGTTATCAAAATTTTCTTGACATCCCTCTAAAGCATACCCGATTTGATGACAAGTATGTAATGTTTGGCCAATTCGACCAATTCAGACTCTTTGAGCATAGAGACTTGTTTCATTGTATGTTGGCTAACACAGTCTTTTGCACTGAACACCATAGTGATCGTTGGCTTCACACAATATCAAATAATGAAATGTTTATTCAATTATTTTGACAAATACCTCCTGATATACATAAATTGAGATCACGGCCGAGCCCCCAATTTCTGTTACATGTTGATTCCCAAATTGAAACAATGTGTTAACCCAGAAATCTGTAGTAAAAATGTGAAACCAACAATGGTATACAATCAAGAAAGTATTACAACATTCACTAGGTTAACAAATCAACACAAATTACTGCACAGCAAGTACAATGTCAGTAAACAATAGAGTGGTAGTAGAATATTCAATGACTGTATATAATATGATGGCAGTGGTCAGTATCAAATGCAACAATACAGTGATGATGGCAAAAGTCAGTGATAATAGTAAAGTCACTCCACGGCGACGGTGGTCAAGTTTCCAAGATTGGCCTATGCAGAGAATACCGGGTGATCTTCACCCGAAAGCTGGTCTTGATATAATCTCAGATGAAAATGTGTCATGAAAAGTGTGAGAGATACGAGAGGTCTGCTCTTGGTCCCTTATATACAATCCATCTAGCTACTGGAAATCTGTGTTTATATAACACGCTATCACCGTTCGCGATATACCGGAAGTTGACAAAATAAACTAGCATCTTCCTGACGACTGCTTACATTAAATAGTACTACATTCCTGAGGACTTATCATTTTCTAAATACAATGCAATGAGCGTCTACTGAATCTCAACAGACACAATGTAACAGTTATAATCACTGTTCACAATAAAGTACACGGCCATATAACAGTATCAGTATTTGGGAAATAAACACCAAACAAAACAACGAAACAAACCTAATCTGCTTAGTTATTTACCCAGTCGGGATTCTGGGTTTGAGCTGGTCCCCAGCAATCGATGCCTGGACGACAGAGTGGATCGGGTGGTCTTGCTCGATGACTTGGTTGATTGCGTATCGTCGAACCCTGATGACACCGTTTATCTATCACTGGTTTGTCTGACGCAGTTATTAATGATCCGCCATCATGTAGCTAATACAACTTTAAACAAACAAAATAAAATCTATTGTTCCATTTGCGAAATTTGATCACTTCTTTTACATTTGTTTGTGTTACTTTAACGTTTTGGGGGATTTAACTTTGAAGTGACTTCTCGTCGCATTATTCAGACAAGTAAAATTAAATTAAATTAAAAGTAAATATGAATCCATGTTCTATCCATTATAATGACCCACACCTATTCTGAAGACGCCTCAAAAAGTGACATATCGATGAAAATGCTTTCTAATTTGAAACATTGAAGACTTGTAGAAATCCTGTAGAGAAAGCTGTTGAAATTAAACAGTATTCAGCTTTCAGCAAATTGGTTGGAAAGATAGATCTAGTGGGTTAAGAAGGCTTTGTCAAATGACGGAGATATGTTATTATTGCAACAAGAGATTTCAAGGTTTAGTGTCAGTGATTTTTGTTCTCTGTCATATCATTTGGGGGTTAATTTGTGCATTTCTGGAAATGTCCAAGTATGTGCCCATCAATGTAGACACCAGTTGGTTAAAGCTGTTCTCATCCATTTGTTTGAGAGGTTACATGGATGCTTGCACATGGTAGGATTGTAGTTTGTACGATATTACTTTGTTTTATAATTTGTTTATCCCCGAACTAAGTTAAATTTTGTTTACCCCAGTACCCAGATATATTTTGTTTACCCCTGTACCCAGATATATTTTGTTTACCAGTGTACCCAGATATATTTTGTTTACCCCTTTATCCAGATATATTTTGTTTATCCCCGTACCCAGCTGTACTTTGTTTATGTCCCCACCCTGCAATATCCCAGCTATATTTTGGCGCCAGTAAACAATGGAACCTAGATCAGAGAAACCAGCTGTTGATATTATGAGCACCATCACCATAAGTACATGTACGATGACACGCTAACTAACACGTTTCAGAGCCAGACCATGCGATCCGTTTAGTTGCCTCTTGCAAGCATCTGTTGCTGGGACCTAATATAACATGGACTCCGTATCGTATCTGTAGAAATGTGTTTGTGGTAACATTTTTATATAATACTACACCTACAATAAGTCAATATAATATTATTAAATATATATAAATTCTATTTATTTGAGTCTTCACTTTCAAATACAAACGAATTAATGCTCTAATGAGAATTTCTGAAAATAAAGGCGACTATGCTTTTCGTAAGAGGCGACTAAAGGGATCGGGTGGTCAGGCTCGCTAATTAATGCATTTCATCGATCCGAATTGCGTGGATCAATGCTCATGATATTAATCACTGGATTCATGTAGCCGAAATATTGCTGAGTGCGGCGTTAAACAACAAATCAAACAATCAATCTGGAAATAAGTTCATGGTCCTACCGGTAATATTTTAACTTAATGGCTGTTCTCAAAGATTGGGCCTGAGACTGATATGATCAACAACCACTCAAGCCGTCGAGGTTGGATGAGTCAAAATCATCCAGGTTTTACATCAAACCATAATCAAACTATTCCTGTCTCATGTTATTTATGGGAACTTGTTATGTCAGGGAATCCCAACAGGGTGATGCACAAGTGAGTATGTTTAGTTATACGCCGTATTTAGCACTATTCCAACAGAACCACGGTTATGGATACCAGAATCAACCTCGCAAATTGTTCCCATGTGGGAACCTTAAAAGTGATAAGCCAACGCTTTTACCCCTACAGGCCGTGTTATTGGCACTTTACAGCTACGGAACAATCCAACAGTGTGTCTGTGTTGTTTAACGTCCAACTCAGCAATATTCC